GCCCACGTCCAGCTGGTGCGCAGACCAACGACGCCCGTTTCTGCAAATGCTCCAAACTCCTCTCCATGCTGACCTGGACCATCTCCGCCAGCACCCGTTTCGCTTTCCTCAACTGCTCCTCCTCCTCGATCCCCAACACAATCCCACGAACTATCTCCTCCAGCTCATCGGGCCCCACTCCTTCCGACCTCGGGCCTGGATCCTCCCTAAGCAGGCCCAACAGCGCCCGGGCCTTGGCCCGGGCCTCGGGCCCTCCTTCCACCGTCAGCTCCATCAGGCCCGGAATCGCCCCTTCCTTCAGAATAGCCTCACGATACCTCTCCCTATTTTCCTCGCACATCGCCAGCAGAGCGCCCACCGCGTGGGCCCGGGCCCGTTTCGAGCCGCACTCGAGCACCTCCACCACCGCCAGCACGCCGCCTCGCTCGGCCACGAGCTCGTCGGAGGCCGCCGCCGCCAGAAGCTCCAAAAGGGCGGCGCTCTTCTCCGAGAGTCGAGAGCACTTTCTGTGGGATTTCAGTATGGAGACAAGAGGTGGGATGGGTTGGGCCTCGAGGATTGGGCTAATGGCGTCGCGGTGGGTCGAGAGGTTGTGGAGGGCTGTGAGGGCATCGAGCTTTGCCTGTGGGCCCGCGTGATTGAGGATGTTGATGAGGGGAGGGATGGCGCCGGATGAGATGATGATGGGCTTCATGCGTGGGGATGCGGAGAGGGTGACTAAAGCGGCGGCCGAGTTTTCGTGGAGAATCGGGTTTTCGGATTGGAGGAATGAGATTATGGGCTCCAGGGCACCGGCTTCGATTATGTTTACCTTGTTTCTGTTGTATGTGTGTATATGGAAAAATGAGAAAGAAAGTAGCATCATGTTCATGTCTATATGTGTTTTGAGTCTACAAAAGAATTGGTAGAGAGGATAATCAATTTTTTCGGCCAAACAAAACATGATTGATTGTTCTCAAATCACTGAGATGCAAAGATGAGAAAGAAAATATTATGTCTCTATGTGTTTTGAGTTCTACAAAAGAATTGGTACAGAGGGTAATCAATTTTTTGAAAAACGAGAATTTTCGGCCGAACAACATGTGATTGATTGTTCTCAGATCAGTGAGATGCACAATTTGTTTGGATATTAAAAGCTCATTGTGACAGAAATTATCGATTCTGTGGAACAAAATTCTCACAAGAGGCAATGGTTGTATCATAGGAGCAACGGCAAATAAGTATCCTTCGCACACGAGGCAATTCTATGGAACAAAATTTAAGATATTTCTTTGTTGTTAACTTCAAATTACAAGATCAGATAACAAAGTGTGACTAAAGTGAGCACAGAATAAAATCAGTCATCAGTCAAACAAAGGATGCCCAACAAGGAATCAAGCTCTTTTGCCAGATGCTAATAGAAAAAGCCCCAATTAACAATCTTTAAAATTTTTTAATGAAATTTAGAATCTTTTATTTGGGATTCCGAGCCAGAATAGGGTATCACGAAGAATAAAAAAATCGAGAAATCAAATTAGCTTCTGGAAAGAACTGCCTCATTTCAATTTCAGCATACAATTGAAGCAGACATGACAAGCACACGCGAACAATAAATTAATAACTCTGAAGCTTAGCTCATACCTTTCGTCTTTGACGGCGAGGTTAAGCAAAGCGGCGAGGGCAGCCTCGTTGGCGTCGGCGGAGTCGCAGCACCGCAGCATGCCCACGAGTGGGCCCACGGCGGCGGAGAGCTGTCGGCGGTACCTCGGCGAGGTCTTGGTCAGCCGCCGGATTTCTTTCGCCGCCTCTACCCTCATACTCAGCTCGTCCGACTGGAGCAAGAGGAGCGCCTGATTCACGGCGGACAGCGGGCAAGACGGATTCGCAGCTGGCGGCGCGGCGGTCATTTTTTTTCTATTCTCTCTCCAAATCCCGAGTACAGAGTAAAGTAGAGAAGAAAGAAGCAGAACTAAAAAAAAAATTACTACTTTTTCTAGATAAAGAGAGGAAGAACTAAAAATGAGAGAAAAATATTGAAATTATTGTCCCACATCGGAGGAGGAGTAAGGAGGAGGGTAACGGGGGAGGGTATAAGTAGTGGGCCTCGGCCTCCAAGAGAAATTGCCTTAAACTAATGAGTAAGGAAAACAATGCGGGCGGTGAGAACTGACCGCGGCACTCATTAAACTTGGTTTTAGTGGTGCAGTAATTTGTGGAGGGGTTATAGGCTAGCCGAGTGTTGACGCTGCTTACTTTTGCAGAACTCGCTCTGGCGGGCCTCCCAAGCCCACCCCCAAATCTAGTCATTACAGTTTAATTACATGAATTTATCGAGGGGTTTTGATGGTATTTTTGTTAGCTAGGTTATTTTGAAAAAGTTAGTATGAATAATTTTATTGAGATTTTGAATTAATGAATAGTAAATTAAAACTATGTGATGTGTAAGAATGATTGATGATATAAATTGAAGTGGAGTTAGATAATGATCGTTATTTTGATAATATCAAGGATTACGGATAATGAAGTTGAGTTATATTTTAAGTATAAATTGAGTATGAGTATGAAATTTTTATAAACAAACACAGTCTGAGAATTTGTATTCAAAATATAAACCGAGCAAATATTTAGCATTTTTCTTGAAAAGTTCACACGAATTGTTGAAATGACATACTTTTTGATGTCATTTCACATTTATTTTGTGATATATGTTTGCAACGACAACTAAAAACTTGCAATGTTTTAGAGATTAGAGACATTTTACAAATAAAACCTAGAAATTTTAATAATGATTTCAAATTAAAAGTATAAAAATACAAAGTCCTAAGTTGAATAGTATATTTATCGATCTAGTTCTATTATATCTTATTTTTCAGTATTTGACACTTACAATAAAAAATAAAAAGTTCAGATTTAGTGGTTAAAATTAAGTAGTAGTTAAATTAAAAAATAATTAAAATAAACATACTTAAAATTAAACTATTACTTACCCTATTATATTTTTATTTTTTGATTTTACGTTTTAGTATATTCGCTTTGCTATTTAAATATTCATATTAAGATATACTGTATTAAACATTTGTGAGAAATAACTTTTAAATGTTATTTTTGAATTCATTCAAATATTATGATAATTTTTGGAATCAACCATCCAATTTTCTTATATGCAAATATATATATTTTTCTTTAAAAATAATTTTTATACTCAAATTAGCTAACGCAACACGCAATGCTATTTATGCTACGCAGTATAATAACTAAAATGTGACAGTTACGCCATACAATTTGTAATGTTTTTTTATTGTGCTGTGGGTGTGTTGTCTAGCGTTGCTAGCCAGGGACAGATCCAGAAATTAAGAGTAGACTGTGCTAGAATTTTAAAAACTCATTTAAGTAAAAATCACATAATATTTTTCTTCAAATATTCACTGAAGTTGTGCTCGACGAGCTTTTACAAAAATTCATTATGCTCATTTTGAACCGTATTTGATGTGCTTTCACTCGTTTGAAGTTCATCCCGTCGATCGTGTTTTTTAAAGAGCGATGATATCAATGGGGTGTTTCCTTTCTTGGCCGAATGTTGGTGCTTCATGTGAATTTGTAAAGATTTCACCATACAAATAAGTAGATATTCTATAGTTATTAGCAAAATGAAATGGCTACACATCATAAATTTAAATTCAAAAATGATATACAACAACCATACTAGAGGATAAGAGATTAAAAAAAAAA